TATTTATTTATTTTTTAAAGATTTTATTTATTTATTTGAGAGAGAGAGACAGCAAGAGAGGGAACACAAGCAGGGGGAGTGGGAGAGGGAGAAGCAGGCTTCCCGCGGAGCAGGGAGCCCGATGCGGGGCTCCATCCCAGGACCCTGGGACCATGACCTGAGCCGAAGGCAGATGCTTAACGACTGAGCCACCCAGGCGCCCCTATTTATTTATTTTTTAAAGATTTTATTTATTTATTTGCAGAGAGAGAGAGAGAGCACAAGTAGGCAGAGCAGCAGACAGAGGGAGAGGGAGAAGCAGGCTCCTCGCTGAGCAGGGAGCCCAATGTGGGGCTCGATCCCAGGATCCTGGGACCATGACCTGAGCTGAAGACAGCTGCTTAACTGACTGAGCCACCCAGCTGCCCCATAAATATTTATCTTTAAAAGTATTAATTGGAGGGCGCCTGGGTGGTTCAGTCGGTTAAGCGACTGCCTTCGGCTCAGGTTATGGTCCTGGAGTCCCGGGATCGAGTCCCACATCGGGCTTCCTGCTCAGCAGGGAGTCTGCTTCTCCCTCTGACCCTCTTCCCTCTCGTGCTCTCTATCTCTCATTCTCTCTCTCAAATAAATAAGTAAAATCTTAAAAAAGAATAAAAGTATTAATTGGATATAATAAAGGTGATACAATAAAGACATTATAGACTTTATGGCTTTCAAAATAAATTTTTCGAAAGTACATGTGTATATTTTGTCAGTTTTTCAGAATTTTAAATAAAACATTTCAGTATTCTAATTTGCTCATCTATGCTTAAAATTTTTTAATAATTGATTTGTTTTAAAGTGTTCTGAAGAAGTGGCTGATGTAAAACTTTTTTTTTTGAAATATCAAATTTGTGAAACTGTTAATGTCTTCAATCCCTCAAATACTTTAAATAGAATTTGACAGATATAGTTCCCCATTACCAATTTTAATTTTAAAATTAAAGCTGTGGTTTAGCAACTTACTGCTGCATAACATATTACTCCAAAATCCAGTGGTTTAAAACAAGAAACATGTGTTTTCTCACAGTTTCTGGAGATAAGGAATTTTTATTTTTTTATTTTTTTTAAGTAGGCTACACACCCAACACAGGATTTGAATTCACAACCCTGAGACCAAGAGCTGAGACCAAGAGCTGGATGCTCCACCAACTGAGCCACCCCAGCAACCCTATGGAGATAAGGAATTTGGGCGTGGCTTTGCTGTGCGACCTTCTGGTTGAAGGTGTCTCATGAGGTTGCAGTTAGATGTCAGTTGGGGCTGCAGTCATGCAAAGGCTTTACTGGGGCTGGAGGATCCCTTCCAAGATGGCCTTTGGTTGGAGGCCCCAGTTCTTAGCCATGCAGACTTCACAGGCAGCTTGAGTATCTTCAAGATTGGCACCTGCTTCCTCCAGAGTGAGTGAGCCAGGAGACAGGCAGAAAGAAGTCAAAATGTCTTTTAAGGTCTAGGTTCACAAGTTACACGTCATTACTTTGCCATGTTGTCTGGCCACACAGATCCACTGTGATCCAGTGTGGGAAGAGCCTACACGAGGATATTAATAATAGGCAGGGATCACGTGACAGTCTTGGCTGGCTCCACTGGAAAAGTCATCTGACTCCCCAGATTGACCTGGTCCCAAAATAATTTGAAGTCGCTCATTAGGCAGTAAATATTAGGTCAACTCTGGGTGTGTTTTAACTGGCATCTGAACACCTGAACTTAATGAATATTGCATGGACCACGTGAAAATATATTTTATATGCGTGTGTACTTATATATAAATGTATGTTGAAAAAGTTTGCATTTTTAAAGCAAAACTGCAACTTTTGAAAAAGTTTAGAAATTGTGTAGTAGCAATCACTAGTCTAATAAATTGAATCCTAAAAAAGAATTAGACAGGAGAGTAACATCTGTACATGCTTGAGGAGAGGCTTTACTGTTATTTTAAAATAAAACTGCTGTGTCAAATATGGTAGCCACCGACTACATGTGGCTATCAAACACTTGAAATGTAACTAGTCTACATGCAGATGTGCCATAACATTAAAATTAAAGACTTAGTTAAAAAAATTGTAAATGATCTCACTAATATTTTTCATACTCATGACATGTTACAATGATGGTATTTTGGTTGTGTTGGGTTAAATACATTCAAACTAATTTTACCAGTTTCTTTTTACTCTAATGTAGCTACTACAAAATTTAAAGTTACATGTAATTGCATTTGTGACTCACATTCTATTTCTTTTGGCGATTGCTGATTTGAAATGGAAAAGTTTGGCTGGATTTAAAATCCTTTGGCGGGATCACAAGAAAACATTAATCTGTGAATAAAAACAAAAGCTGCTAGATTTAAAGAATGGATCATTTCTCTGAACTCTGCATTAAAGAGACTGAATTATCTGAAACCTGGTTAATGGCAAGAACAGAGAATTTTTGGAAAATGGGGAAACAGTCTCCTGTTTGTTACTGCCTACTTGTTTCTTTTCTTTTTTTTTTTTTTAAGATTTTATTTATTTGAGAGAGAGAGAGAGAAAAGGAGCAGGGGGAGGGGCAGAGGGAGAGGGAGAAGCAGGCCTCCTGCTGAGCAGGGAGCCCAAAGCGGGGCTCCATGCCAGGACCCTGGGATCATGACCTGAGCAGAAGGCAGACACTCAACCGACTGAGCCATCCAGGCACCCCTGTTACTGCCTACTTGTACAAATGAAGCTGTCCATCAGTGGTAACTCTAAAAAAAATGGGAAGAGATCATCTTTAGAAAGTCATCTTGGTCAGGGATTGCATACACACTTGGTCTTCATTATTCATGAACCCGTGTTTGTCAATTTGTCCACTCACTAAGATTCGTTTGTAACCCCCCAGTCGTTGCTCCCAGGGCTCTCACAGTCATTGCAGAGGTGAACAGAGTGGCAAAATATTTGGGTGGTGCAAAGTGCAGGTTTCCAGCTGAGGTCAAAAAAGTGACACTCTGCCTTCTTGTTTCTTCTTTCATACTGTATACAAGTGTCCTTTTTTTGGTTTATTTATTGACCTTTTTTTTTCACATATCTGTGCTTTTCGTTGGTGATTCTGCTGTTGGAAATGGCCTGGGGGTTAGAGCCGCAGTGCTGTCTAGTGTCCTAAGCCCAGGAAGGCTGGGATGTGCCTTATGGAGAAAATCGACATGTTAGATAAGCTTCCTTCAGGCACGAGTTTGTAGGGGAGGAAAAATAATTGTCCCTCTACCTTTCTGGGTTCTTAGCTGAGACCCCTGTAGTAAAAGATTAACAAGAAAAAAAAAACAAACTGTCTTGTTTGTTTGTTTGTTACCATGTAATTTGCTTTGCTTTGTTTCTGTTGAAGTGTGGTTGACACATAATGTTCCATTAGTTTCAGGTACACCAAGTCTGGAGCTGTGTGGTGCTCCCTGCAAGTGTAGCTGCCATCCGTCACCGTACAATACGATCACAGTGCCACCGACTGTACCCCCTATGCTGTGCCTTTTATCCCCATGACTTATTCATTCTGAACCTGGAAACCTGTGCCTCCCACTCGCCTTCGCCCATTTTGCCCACCCCCCCGCCCCGCCCCGGCTGCAAGCAGTGTGTTCTCTGCATTTATGGCTCCTTGTTTGTTTCTTCATTTGTTTTGTTTTTAAGATCCCACATGTAAGTGAAATCATATGGTATTTGTCTTTCTCTGTCGGACTTATTTCACTTAGCACAATACCCTGTAGGTCCATCCACGTTGTCGCAAATGGCTGAGTCAAACAGAAGTTTATTAACACATCTACCTCATGTATAGGTGGGAGATATATAGGGAACTATGAGTAACTCCTCGAGGTGGCTTAGAACTCAGGATTAAATGCCATCTTCATGGGGGAAGGGGAGGGGATGTAGGTCTCCTGGGGCACAGCAGACGGTTTTTAGGAAAGCTAACGGGGCCCTCAGAAGACTAGATGGGAGGCCAACAGTTCTGGACAGAGTGTGTCTGGGTGCGGTGCTGACTTCTAGTCTCGTCTCCTGAGATGAGAGTCCGTCTTCCCTGCTGAAGACACTCCCGGGAGGGGATGGATGACGACCCTGAGGTCCTTTGGAGGAGCTGTCTTCAGCAGGTGAGGGAGATCAGAGTCTGTCCTGCACCTGCTGTTTTCCAGTGTCTTCAGTTCAAAGTAATCAGTGTTGGGGTGGCATATTCTGCCACCCTTCATGTTTTGGTGCTGTGGTGGTGAGTTTAATGTTAACGAACAGTACGTTCCATCCAGAAAAGGAGTAAGAAATGTGCAGACCTGTACAGGAGGCTGCTCTGGAAAGTACTAAAGTAACACCTATAGTGTGTGATGGAGCGGAGAAGAAAGAAACGGGGCTAAATGTGTGGATTTATGAGATGACTATTCTTTAAAAAACAATTAAAAATTGCAGTGGAGAGCACTGCTGGGAGGCTGAAAGCCAAAGAAATTTACAGTCACGTTACCCGGCATCAGGAGAATTGTTATGCCCTTCTTGGCTGGCTCACGTGTGTCCAAATAAAAGTGTTGTGTGTGGAAGAGCAGGTTTTCAGTGTTAATGAAACTGGCTCGTTTTACAAGGATGTTGGCAAATGAATCCATATAACACAAATGGCCTCTTGGTTGAAAACGTTCTACCAGAGGCTTGCAGGAACCTGACCCTAAGAAACAGTCCAGTAGTTACTAATGCAGTGTTTGCAGAGACTCTACAGAGCGTCACTAACTACTGTGAGTAATGGGAATCAACTCTTTCATGCACATAGCCCGTTGATTTTTAATAAATAAATAAACCCTATTTTTTTAAATGATTTTATTTATTTATTTATTTATTTATTTATTGAGAGAGAGAGAGAATGGTAGAGAGAGAGCATGAGAGGGAAGAAGGTCAGAGGGAGAAGCAGACTCCCTGCTGAGCAGGGAGCCCGATGCGGGACTCGATCCCGGGACTCCAGGATCATGACCTGAGCCGAAGGCAGTCACTTAACCAACTGAGCCACCCAGGCACCCCTGAGACTTTCTTGATCAAGAGATTTTGTGAGAGAATTTCTCTTTCGAGACTTATACTGTACAAGTGTCATTTTTCTTGGTTTTGCTGCTGATGTCCTTGACCTCCGCCAGGAGTCGGCACAGTTCTTCAGGAGTTCTTCTGAGGCACTTTGACCGTGACGGTTTTCACTTCGGTGTATGCCTGCAGCCCATACTCTCCTAGCTCCCGGCCGCTCCCAGACATCTTGTAGCCGCCGAATGGGGACTGGGCCCCAAACACATCATAGCAGTTGACCCATACAGTGCCAGCCTGGAGGGCTTGGGACAGATAATTGGCCTTGTCCAAGTCCTTGGTGAAGACAGCTGCAGCCAGCCCATAGTTGGAATTGTTGGCTCTCCCAATGACTTCCTCTATGGTCTTGAACTTCAGGATCTGCATCACTGGCCCAAAGATCTCCTCCCTGGCGATAGTCATGCTGTCTTGCACATCTCCGAACACGGTGGGCTGGATGAAGTAGCCACGGTCAGCAGCCGCCCCTCCACCACACAGCAGCTTTGCCCCCTCCTCCTTCCCAGATTTGATATAACCAAGGATCTTCTTAAACTGAGTTTCATCCGCCTGCGGCCCCTGCTCAGTCTGGCTGTCAAAGGGGTTCCCAACCACACGAGACTTGGCCCGGGCAACGCTCCTCTCCACAAACTCGGCATACACATCTTCTTGCACAAAGGTCCGGGAGCCCGCACAGCAGCACTGGCCCTGGTTGAAGAACAGGGCGAAGTGGGCCTGCTCCACAGCCCAGTTCATATCTGCATCTGACATGATGATATTGGGGCTCTTTCCCTCCAGCTCCAGGGTCACTCTCTTGAGGTTACTCCTCCCTGTGGCAACCTGGACTAGGCGGCCAACCTCGGTGGAGCCTGTGAAGGCCACTTTGTCCACATCCTCATGGGAGGTGATGGCGGCCCCAGCTGTGGGGCCAAATCCAGGAATAATATTGACCACGCCAGGGGGAAAGCCAGCCTCCTTAATCAGGTTGGCCACATAGAGGGCAGTCAGTGGAGTCTGCTCAGCTACCTTCATCGCAACCACATTTCCCGTTGCCAGGGCTGGGCCGAGTTTCCAGGCTTGCATCAGTAGCGGGAAGTTCCACGAATGATCTGCCTGCACACCCCGACGGGTTCATGGCGGGTATAGCTGAAGAAGTCCCCATCGATGGGAATAGTTTTCCCGTGGTACTTATCAGCCCAGCCAGCGTAATAACGTTAGAATTTGAGAACCATGTCCAGATCCACCCGGTAGAAGATGACATAGGGCTTGCCGTTATCCAGGGTCTCCAAGGCTGCTAGGTAGGTCAGGTCCCGCTCGATCAGATCAGCCAGGCGGTTCAGCAGGCGGCCTCTGTCAGACGCATCCATGCGGCGCCAGGGTGAGCCCAGCTGGAAGGCGGCCCGGGCAGCCTTTACTGCCCTGTCCACGTCTTCCTTGTCTCCTTCGGCTACCTGACAGATGACTTCTCCGGTGGATGGATTGATGGTGGGGAATGTTTTCTTGCTGACAGCATCATGCCACTCATTGTTTATGAAGATCTGGTTGTAGAAGACTTCAGGCTGCTGGTTGGGGGCCGGCACCGCCTGGGTGGTGGCGGCCGACAGGGGACCGCGGCCCAGGCGGGACCCGAGGCCAGCGGCGGCGCGCAACATGTTGCAGAGGGCGCTGGCGTGCAGGGCGGTGTGTGCCCGGCGGCCGGCTGGCGCTGCTGGGGCGGTGGGGGTGGAGCCAAACCCTATTTATTTTTAATAAGTAAAAAACTTAATTGAAAAAAATCAACTTTCTCACTTAAAGATTGAAAAGACTTGAGAAGTTTTATACACATTCAATATTTAATATCTTAGTGTTTTATATTCTTGTAATTATGTAATATAAAGAAAATACTGTAATCTTTTCTATCAAGGCTCAGTGTAAATGGCCTCTGTGCCTCCAACTCACTGCTGCGTTTTATATGAACAGCAACGTATCTGTGTGTGCTATCAGATGAGAAAAACTGGGAATTATGACATCACAGGCTTATTTAGAACTCATTTATATGCAACTCAAAACAGCCTCATGACCGTCCTTGACAGACTGGATAAATATCCATTAAAAAGAATAAGGCAGCTCTAAATGTAGTGAAATGGAAGTGGCTTAAAAATATACTAAATGAGAAAAGCATAGTACCATGTTGTGTGTACATAGATTTTTGTTGCTGCTGCAGCAAATTATCACAAATTCCATGGCTTAATACAACACAAATTTATTATCTTACAATTCCATAGGTGGGAAGTCTGACACAGGTCTTGACTGGGCTAAAATTAAGGTGTTAGCCGCTGCATTCCTTTCTGGAGGTTCTAGGGGAGAATTATTTATTTATTTATTTATTTAAACTTATTTATTTAAATTCCATTAAGGAGGGCACGTGATGTGATGAGCACTGGGTGTTAGACGCAACTGATCATTGAACACTATATCAAAAATTAATGATGTACTTACTATGTGTTGGCCAACTGAATTTATTTATTTATTTGAGAGAGGGCGCACGCGAGAGCACTTGAGTGGGAGTAGGAGGAGCAGAGGTGGAGGGAGAAGCAGTCTCCCTGCTGATCAGGGAGCCCAACCTCAGGGCCCCATCAGCCGATCAATCCCAGGACTCAGAGATCATGACCTGAGCCAAAGACAGATGCTTAACTGACTGAGCCACCCAGGCGCCTGTAATTGTCTTTATTTTATTTTGTTTTGTTTGCCTTTTCCAGCTTCTGGGGCTGCCTGTATCCCTTGGCTTCCTACCTCTTCAAAGCTAGCAATGTTGCATGCCTGACCATTCTTCCATAGTCACATCTGTCCACAACCTAGAAAAATTCTCAGCTTTAAGGGTTAGTATATGATGACATTAGGCCCACCTGGATAATCCAGGATAGTCTCCCCATCTCAAAATCTTTAACCTGAAGGACACCTGCAAAATCCCTTTTGTCCTGTAAAGGAATCTTTTCACAGGTTCTAAGGATTAGGATGTGGACCTCTTGGGGAGAAGGCATTATTTTGCCTGTAGTATGCACCTTTGTGTATAAGAAATATTTATTTAAAAACAGACTATCTCTGGAAGGGCACACAAGAAATTGGTAACAGAACTAGCTTCTGGGGAGAACTGGGTACCTGGGAGATATGGAGGCTGACTTTAGAGTGTGTATCTTTCATTCGTTTTGATTTTTTTTTATTGGCGTGCATATATTTAAAATAAGTGAAGAAAAAATTTAAAAGTCTTAAACTGCGTGTTGGTTCATCAATACTGTATTGTCTTGTGTACATATCTTTTTTTTTTTAAAGATTTTATTTATTTATTTGAGAGAGAGAATGAGAGATAGAGAGCACGAAAGGGAAGAGGGTCAGAGGAAGAAGCAGACTCCCTGCTGAGCAGGGAGCCCGATGCGGGACTTGATCCCGGGACTCCAGGATCATGACCTGGCGCTTAACCAACTGAGCCAGCCAGGTGCCCTTGTGTGCATATCTTAAATACTACTTAAAAGAAAACATCCAGGGGCACTTGGCTGGCTCAGTCGGTAGAGCATGCAACTCTTGATCTCAGGGTTGTGAGTTCAAGCCCGGGTTGGGCGGAGAGTTTACTTAAAAAAGAAAGAAAAGAAAAGAAAAGAAACAAAAAAATCCAACTGCTTCTCACCACTAGGATGGTCACTAGATGGCGCTCTCTCACCCTTCCCGGTCTGCCCCGGTCACACACTCGGTTTTTACTTTGCCTGTGTGTTCATCTTGCGGGAGGAGTGATGATAAGGCTTCAGCACAGACTAGTTGCATTCAGTTTCACTGATTTCTTTATAGTCCCATTATGTTTGAAGGCTGTTTCCTCCCCTGTGAAACGGGGTTATAGTAATACCAGCTCATAGGGTCATTATGAGGACTATACAGGAATATCTCTAAAATGCATAAACATCTCTCAAAAGGCACACCTAGTAAGCACTGGATAACTTAGCTATTAATATTAACATCCACCTCCCTGGTTAGTGAGTTTCCCCAACAACTTTTTTTTTTAAAGATTTTATTTGAGAGAGAATGAAATAGAGAGAGAGAGAGAGAGCATGAGAGGGGGGAGGGTACGAGGGAGAAGCAGATTCACTGCTGAGCAGGGAGCCTGATGCGGGACTCGATCCCGGGACTCGATCCCGGGACTCCAGGATCATGACCTGAGCCAAAGGCAGTCGCTTAACCAACTGAGCCACCCAGGCGCCCTTCCCCAACAACTTTCTAATTGTGTCCCAGTTTACTAGTCTTTGGATGCCTCCAATACTTGTTCTAGGTAAGAAAGAAGTGTATCTTGCATTTAGCTTTTTGTGAAATACCTTATTCTAGAATCACACTGATTTCCCCAAATAGGGCCAACTCCACAAACCCAAGATGCATACCAAATAAAGTTAAGGTATACCAGAAATCTGTGACTCTTGTGAACTGATTTCTCAGTGAATACCTTAAGGGTTATGATACAATTAGCAGGAATTAGTAAACTCATTTTTTATGAAACCCAAGCTAGCACCACACACATTAAAAGGATGTTTTCTCAAATGTGGCTCCCTATTTCCAGTCAGAAAATAAAATTTTAAAAAAGCTGAAGAGCTCTATGAGGATCCCAAATTGGAGGCAAAAAGCAAAGGTGAAACACATAGTAGGTGCTCAAGAAATGCTACTCTACCCTGTTCTATGGGACTGTTGGTGTTGTTCTCCCACTCAAGCCTCTTATTTTTAGAAGGCTCAAGATAATGCCATTAAATGGACGGGTGTGTGTGCTAAGTATAGAAACAGATGTATTGAAAGAGATTTTATGGATTTAAGAGCCAAAGATATTTTTAGGATATTCACTGCCACATATCCCTAGATGGGACAGTGAAAGCTGCATCAAGAAAGGGGGTCTCCTGGGGATAGCTCCGGTGTGGACACAGGGTGTCACTATTTTTAAGTTTTTGAAAGATTTATATTTACTTAGAGAGAGAGAAAGCAGGAGGAGGGGCAGAGGGAGAGGGAGAGAGAGAATCTCAAGCCGACTCACCACTGAGCGTGGAGCCCGATGCAGGGTCTGATCCCAGGACCCAGAGATCATGACCTGAGCCGGATGCTCAATGGACTGAGCCACCCAGGTGCCCCGTGGGTGTCACTATTTTTAGAGGCATGCCAGTCTCTGAGGCTGTACCTGGGAGGACCTGGCTTATCTGTTCTGTTCGACTCTTTAAGCTGATACGTGAGAAGGGTAGGCTGGGTTCACAGCATCCTAGAAGCAGAATGTGCAGTGGTGTTAGAGATGCTGTAGGAAAAGTTTCTGGTTGTGCTGCAGGCTGGTTATGGGGGCAAAGCCCTGGTGGGTGGCAAACCCCTGGGGCAGTCAGAACAGAGAGTCTGAACCAGCAGCACAAACAGCTTGAAGAAGGTGACCTGGAGGACTCCAAGAAGGAGGCTGACTCTGACTGCAAAGGTCACCATGCCCAGGTTGGTGATAGCCTGGTGGTCATGGGGACAGATAAGACCAGAGCAGGGGGCAGAGGTCACTGACTGCTGGTTGCAGGACTATGCATGCGGGGAAGTGAGGCAGCCTGAAGGATCCTTCACAATGGCCAGCACAGCTAGGACCTGCACTTTATTTCTGGGTTTCATCCCTAGAATCTCCTTGGCACCGAAGACCCTGATCTCCAACTAGAGCTGAAAACACGAGCCTGGTTGGCATGGAGACCTGGGCAGAAGGACTCCTTGGTGCTCTGGTCTGTGGGGAAGTAGGTGCTGGAGATAGAGCCAGGGAACTTAAGAATGGTCATCTTTGTGCCCAAGTTAACCTGTGCATCTGGATGGGGGCAGAGGAGCTGACTTAGAGTAGCAGCAAACCCCAGTTCTGTGGTGAGATCCCACCTGCTGGGAAATCAGAGACTTCTTGCTCCAGCTGAAGCTGGCCACTGATGGCCTCTGCCTGAGAATCCTCTGGGTAGCAAGCACTGTGCTCTTAGTGTGGAGCTTCTTGTGAGGGACAATTGCTTGAGAGGCTGAGATATCCCAGAGGCTGGTCTTGATAACACCCACCTAAAGTGGCCCTTGGAATTCAGATCAATTGTTGGAGTACCTGCATTGAAGATCTTGAGTATAGATGTTCCTGATTTGGAGGATGAGGTTACACTGTCCCAAATGCAATGCTATAACCATGATGTTTTTTGGACCAAAATGGCAACAGGCTGAGTCAGGAGTCCTTTGGTTCATACGAGTCCTATGAACCTTCAGTTCATATTGGTCAAAAAACATTAAGAGTTTTGTAATTTTCCTTGTCAGGTTTTCTGCACCTTGTAGTGAATGGGTGTCTATACCATTAGGTAAACCTCATAAGCTTTATTAAGAACTGCGTTCTCCAAAATCAGCAACTTGAATCCTGCAGGATGTATGTTCTTATAAACTGCCTCCTGGATTTGTGTCTTCTGTTTGAAACTTCTGATCTTCCTCCTGAACACCAAGAGAGTTTCCCCATGCTCGGTCATCTTCTCCATCTTGGAGGAGATGTAAGTTAATGCATAGATCCTAAGGATTTGAGAAATCTCACAGGTTTTTGTCGGAGTAGGTCATTGAGGGGATGTGACCACTGGTTGACCCTCTAGCCAGACCTGGGCTGTTGAAGGCCCCTTATCCCTCC